TGGAGATAAATTTTAGCCTATGATAAAGCAAACGTGTGAATGTTCACAGGGTATTTTATTTAATATTTTAACTATTATTATATAGTAGTGTAATGTAGACAGACACTATATCACAACTAAAAAGAGTTTTGAGTTTTTTTTTGTTCAATTTGCACACTGAATATGGGTTGGAGCTCTTTATTTTGAACTCTCAAAGTGCACCAGATTGATGAATTTAACATTAAAAAGCACAAAATTTTCTTACGGGGGAGCATGCCCCCGAACCCCCCTAGGACAGAGGTGCACTCTGCACTCACCACAGATTTCCATGGGAAAAACCAGTATACAGCTTATAGCTTGTTTTAGGATTCATCACTGTGGAGTATAGTTCAACTGAGTATAGTTCAACTTTTAGTATAGTTCAACCCCCAACCCCCCCCCCCACACACACACACAAAACAGATACAAATAATGCCCTTTTGTAGTGTGTTACACATACGATTTCTCATCAAACTGTGTTAACTGTGATTAAATTCAGTATATATACGTCTGCCATGTTGCCACCCCTCAAAAATTCCTGCCCCCCTCTTGCCACCCCATAAATATTTTCCTAGATCCGCCCCTGGTAGTAAGAGAGTACCGCAGTTTCTCACAGGAGCGCGCCGGGAGTGCAGCGAGCGCGAGATGTTGGAATGAGCCGTTCTGCGCCGTTTCTCGCCCTCTGCAAACCAACTCCGAGGAATCTAGTCAGAGAGGGCTGTAGACGTGCCTTGTCGATGGGGGCATCCGGGCCTCCGTAGATTCTTGTGTCTAGGTTTTTTTCTCCTCCTCTAGAGGACTCTGGGTACTGAAGTTCTGCTCGTCGTGACTTCATTCTTCTCTCTCTCTCCCTCTCTCTCTCTCTCTCTCTCTCTCTCTCTCTCCCTCTCTCTCTGTCTGTGTTGCATCAAATAACACTCAGACAGTGTAACGGGGCTCTGAAGAAATGCAATTAGATCTGCCTACGTGACAAAAATGCACTTTTGAGATCCATATGCACATTTCATCTAGAGTGCACAGAAGATATTTCCCCCAAATGAGAGGTGACATTAACTTAACACTGTGAGGTCAAAGTGAGTTTGCATTGTGCAAACTGCTTTGAATGCTTAATGGGAGACAGCTCACCTTAAAATGAAAATTCTGCCATCATTCACGTCGTACCAAAAACCTGTATTACTAACACAGAAGATGATATTTTGATAAAAAGAAAATTGGTATCAATTGTATGGATGGGCTAAAAAAAAGACATTTGTTAATGTTCCTGTTTGTAAATGGTGACAGAATTTTAATGTCCCTTTAAGAAATTGCAAATTTATTCACTCACTCTGGAAGCTTATAATTTTTAGTATGATGTGAACATGTAGCCTATGATTAAAGACAGATTTAAAAACTAAGGAAGTCTTAAAAGAATATAGTTCACCCACAAATGAATCACATCAGCCTCATGCTGTTTCAAACCTGAATGGCTTTCTTTCTTCCATGGAACACCGACGGAGAAGTCAAAATGACAGACTCATTCAGGTACAATGAAAGTGAACAATGACTGAGGCTGTCCATCACTAACATTATACCCAACGACTTCTTTTGTGTTCCAGGGAAGAAAGTAAGTTACAGGTGTGGGACAACTTGAGGTGATTCATTTTTTGGTGAACTATCTCTTTAAAAACGGAATGATGTTCTATAACGACTGAACACAATATATAAGGTCTTTGATATGAACTGTGGGCTGTGAATAATATATTGGCTGAATCTATTAGAGACTGTCAAAGATCACAGTCCAATAGTTTCTCTGCTCCGCCCTCCAGTAATTGAATTTTCCTCTAATTTTCTTCCATGTTCCAAGCTCTTTCAACATTCCCTTCACAGTTTAAGAGAAATGTATAGCTATATTATTTGGCTATGCCGGCTGCTGTAACATCGCACTGTGTAACTGTTTTATTTGATTGCATTGATGCAGTCGTGCTGGTCCTGCAGAGCACTTCTTTGTTGTTCTGATTATAGCTACTGGCTCATACACGATATTTGGATACAGGGAAAATTAGTTTTATATTATGTTTTTTTTTTCTAAGATAGAATTTTTCTACCTCTTCATAAAATGGGTAAATAAAATTTCTCACAAAAAATGAGAAAATTAAAGTGTTTACTTAATAGATAGAAAATAAAAAAAAATAAAAAAACCAGATTGCAATAACAAATTCTGCCCAAAAGAAAGTCAAACTACATTAATCTGAATTATCTGAAGCTCCTCCACCTAAATTCCTTTTCTTGTTATATCTGATTTTTATAAACAGGGACAAATGCCAAAACGTGCTAGAAATTAATCATCAACACACACACACACACACATCCCCAGGCCTGCAGAATAGCTCTCTACCCTGCAGCAGCAAAATTGTAGATGCAACAACTGTTTAATTTATAAATGTGAAAATCAAATCTGCAGCAAGAACAAAGTGCCAGCTCAGTGCAGGTACAGAATGTACCATCATGACTACAAACCCCAGCAGGATAATTAATAAACCAATACAGCATACTAAAAAACCCTGCACACCTCCCAGTCTTCACATTATGCTTCTTCTGCCATCTTGTGGACAGCAGAGTGGAGAGCATATGAATGCAGCTGTGAGCAATCGAGCGTGTTTCTCTCGCTGCACCATTCCTGATAAACAGAGAATCACGATCTGTTTAAAATAGAGATTACAATTGTCCTACGATTGTGAATAGGTCAGACACCTAAACAAAATAACGTCATTTGTCAGGTTCCGACCAAATGTTACTTGCTGCAGTCTATTTAAAAATGTTTGATTTGAATTAATTATTTAAAAAAATAAATTTTAAAAAGTTGAAAAAATTATTCAGATGGCTGCATCCGAAATCACATACTTCCCTAATACTAGGCTATATAGTAGGCGAAAAACAGTATGTGACAAAATTAGTATGTCCGAATTCACAGTAGGCCTACTCATAAAAGAGTAGGAAAAAAGTACCCCGATGACCTACTACTTCCGGTGAGATTCTGAAGTGTGCATATGATGGACACTTTACTATCCCATGAGGCCACGGGAGAGGATTTGTGAATGACAGTGAAGTGACGCCAACTGATGCTGGTAGGTGACATGACAATGAACATGGCGAATACTTCCAGATTACATTCATACTACACACACTCATATTATATACTAAAAGTACTTACTCTAGAGAGAGAGTATACTATTTCAGACACAGCCTATGAATCAGCGTTTTTAAACGAATCTTTTGAATGAATGATTCAATGCCAATCCATTCAGTCACTTGTCGCCGCCTACTGGTGTAACAATGTAATTGATACAGACCTTATTCACAGCAGCACCATCTTTGATTGAAAGAGAGGCTGTGAGGGATAGACATACATCTCTTCAGTTGGTTGTACTGTTATTTAATGCATTCTGGATTGTTCTGGTGAAGAAACAGTGCAAAAATATCTTTCCAAGTAATTTCAGTAGACAAAAAACACCCGACAATTTGAGCTATGGAAAATTATAAGTGATCTAGGAGCTTTATACAGCTTTTTACAGTGAATGCCATTAAAAACACTATGGCTGCATCCGAAATCACATATAGGCTACTTCCCTACTATATAGTAGGCGAAAACCTGTAAGTGACTAAAGTAGTATGTCCGAATTCACAGTACTCAAGAGTCGGCAAAAAGTACCAGGATGACCTACTACTTCCAGTGAGATTCTGAAGTGTGCATATGATGGACACTTTACTATCCCATGAGGCCACGGGAGAGGACAGTGAAGCGACATAACTGACTCCGTAGGTCACATGACAGTAACAACATGGCAAATGTAGTACGTCCGGATTACATTCATACTACACACACTAATACTATACAGCACATACTTTTTTAGCCGTCGAGAATTACTTATTCAGAATAAGTACCCGAGAGTTTGTGATTTCAGACCGCCTATGAATCAGCATTTTAAATGAATCACTTGAATAAATAATTCGATGACAAATCCATTCACAGTCATTTGTCGCCACCTACTGGTGTAACAAGATCGCTACTGTAGACATCAGTGTTTATCCGACCCATAAGCTTTAATCCCAGTACTTCTGTGATCATTTGAATTATTGTTTCATACATATGAACGATAACTGCCCTAGACAGCCGAATCCTTGTCATTCAAAAATAAGATAGCATGGGTGTTTGGATCAAGATCTTTTACTGATCAAAAGTGCAGCTGTAATGTGAAAGCATCCTGCAAAAGTGTGTGAGTGTGGACGTCAAGTAAAAGAAGCATGTTAGACACATGTGTTCAGTTCAGTAAGCTCAGTATAATAAAATGGCACGAACATCACATAACTGTAATACACATTCTTCACTTCAGGAATACAGTAGAATATCACTGACCCTGAATAAAGGCACAGGTTTGATATCCACTTAAATTATAGACCAAATCACAGAGATAAGATGTAAAATACAGTGTAAAATGCAGGAAACAAAACAATAAAAACAGTAGTTTTTCTTCTCATTTTAAAGGACAGCTCTGAAGGAAGTCTTTTTGAATGACTGCATCTTTAAAGTCACCAGGAAACAACAGAACTGCTCTCTAATAAGATAATACAAGACTGTTAGACTTCAAAATTAAACAAAAAGGATTATTATAAAGCAATAACATGACTGGATAAATGAACACGGCCTAGAGAAACAAAAGCAAGAGCATTTCAAACTGTTTTGAGATGGACACACAATCACCTCTGTAATTTAAGATTTCATTTTTGACTTCTGCATATCAAGACCTTTGCATTTAGTTTCCCTTTTTTTTTTTTGGCAGACAAAAAAAGAAAGACTGAATTGTTACATTCAAAAATGCTCATTCAGGACCTGGAAGAGCTTTCTCAGTGATTCACCACAAAACACACACCTCCGACTAGATAGCTGTGTGAAAAATCTCAGTTATCCGGATTACTGCCGAATGTCCAGTAGAGATTTCCAAAATCTTCTGTCGGACAGATTAACTCACTAGAAATGACTTGAATAGTCTATAAGAGACAGAGCATTCAAATACAGGGCTGGATATAGTGAAACAGGTAGGTATTACATGATTAAATATGATTGCTATTGCCTAATCAAAGATATGTAATAAGCTGTATTAATATGTGCTGTCATATTCATAAGCCTGGTTTCACAGACAGGGTTTAGATTAAGCCAGGATTAGGCATTAGTTCAATGAAGACATTTATAAACGTGCCTCAGAAAAAAAACATTACTGGTGTGCATCTTTGAGACAAAACACAATGGCACTGATATGTTTTAAGATATGCTTTCGGTCAAAACACCTCAAACATGTATTTTAGTCTAGGCTTAGGCCTTGTCTGTGAAACCAGGGGTTAAAGTTAAAGAAGACCCGACATTAGCATTGCCCATTGTTATTACTTTAAAAAAAGTGACCCATCTTGCTGTTTGAGATCTTGGAAAGCATTTTTAGTTTGAGCTCTCACGCTACACCACAAGATGAGAGATTGCATGTTCAGAGCCTGTGATTGAGGTGCCGTGCAACAGTGCCGCAGTTTTTGGAGGTATTGTGATAGAAAGTTAGAAAGGCAATCGCATCTTTCCTGAAGAATATATTGAGCTAATGCTATCACAGGTTCTCTCCAGGCTGGTATTGGGGTTCAGTAGCAGTAAAGTAGTCCTCCAGGAAGCCCTGCAGGTACTCAAAGGTGTGTCTCTCGTCCGGGTCCTTCCTCCAGCACTGGACCATCAGCTCGTGCAGTGAAGCCGGGCAGCCCTGCGGACTCGGCATGCGATACCCACGCTCCACCTGCTCCAGCACCTCTCTGTTGTTCATCCCTGCACACAAACATATAGAAAAAGAGAATTATATATATACCGTAAAACTTCAAATAATAGCCGAGTCCCAAATAGACGCCTGTCTCTTTTACACGCCTGGTGTGGCTGCAGGTTTGGGTAAATAAAGGCCGGTCTCAAATAGAGGCCGGGTCTGTTTTTTAGTTTCGGGTTGTATTTAATCCTCTAAAACCGTCAGAAAGCGGCCGCCAAAGCAAATTTTTGTCCCTCCAAAGCCTTTTTTTGATCGATGAGTGATGTAGAATAGAATGACTGCTGCGCTTGACAGGACGCACGAGCAGAGAGAGAGAGAGAGAGAGAGCGCGCGCACTCTCACGTCTTCAAACAACACGAGCGCTGTCTTGGTCTCTCTCCCGCCTCGAGCATATTAATCAAAATTAATTGACGCGATAGTAAAAGGTCGGAAGATCGCAGTTTCACGTGGAGCATTAGGAGATTTTTAGAGATTAGAGACAGGCCTATACACTCAGTGAACAACATCTCAACAAAATTATAAAGGCCTGTCTCGTAGACGCCCGTCTCAAATACAACCCGGTGCAGTTCGACGATTTGGGAAAATAAAAACCCGGGCTACTATTTAAAGTTTTACGGTACTACGAGACTAGTATGATTTTTATTATAAGAGTAACTTGCTGCTTCCCAATTCGCCTACTTATACTACGCGGCCTAAAAGTGTGTACTCTTAAGCCTGGAACACACCAAGCCGACGGTCGGCCGTCGGGCAGTTTTTGTGCGTCGGCCGACTGAGTTTCCTCGGTGTGTTCCGCACGGTTCTGTGCCGTCGGCTGAAATTGGTCCTCGTCGGCTTTGTTTCGGCCGATTCGACATGTTGAATCGGCGTCGGGCCGTCGGTGAAAGAGGGAACTCTGATTGGCTGTTCAGCTTAGTGAAAGAGTCATGCACAAGAATAATAGCAAAACAGCGAGCAAAGAAGTCAAAACTCTACAGATAGAAGGCTGTTCTAGTGTTACGTCATCTTACCTGGGTGTTCCTTGGCGAATATTTCAATATTAACACGAGCGGAGTGGAATAAAGAAAGTGTTTAGCAGGATTGATATTTAAAACGGTAAGCACGCACTGCTTTGTTTATGGTTTGTGTATCTGCAGCCGACAGCGTCGGTTTCCCCTTTTTGAATGACGAATATATCTGCAGAAATAGACAGTTGTCTCATTTATACGCAGGCGCAGAACGCACATTCTAGCCGACAGTCGGCTGTAGTTCTCTCGCTGTGTTCAAGTGCAGCTTTTTACCCCGACGAGAGGCAACGAGAGGCGACAACACAGTCGGCTTTCATCGGCGCTAGTTCGTCGGCGTCGGCTTGGTGTTCCAGGCTTTAGGGTGAAGAAAAAGTACATACTATTGAGTGTGTAGCAGAAGCTTTGGCGTTAGCCTCATAGCATAATTGCCTAACTCATATTTCAATGTCTTTGGAAAACAAGAAAAAACACAAAATGACTTAGGCAATTATGCTATGAGGCTAACGATATACTATCACGTCATAAAATTGCGCTGAGGGATAGTTATGCTGTGTTCCAGGCAGGTTTTTGAGCAGGTAAATCACGACTTCAAACCACGACTCACGACTTTGTAGCGTTCCATCCAGTCACGCCAAACTACCTGTGCGCAATATATACTTATTGTTTCAGACACACTTAAAATTGTAATACATAATCGTGTGTGTATTTTTATCATTGGGGGGGGGGGGGCTGCCATTGTTGTTTTGTATGGTTCCGCTGGCTATGTGACGTCAGAACTCGTAACTGGGAGTACATCGGTCTAGTACGAGTTCACGGGTGGGAAGTCACGGGTTTGACTGCCGTTCCAGTGCACTTTCACGGGTATAAGGTCGGAAAAACACGGGTTACAGGTTGCCTGGAACGCGGCATTACATGCATCCTTTCACCGTAAACTGGCCTGTCAAACATCTTGTCACAGTTAACATCCTCCACATCTCGTTTAATTTAATTTCCTACCGTATAGGAGAGAAAAGAAGTGGCATGTTGATCTGCCAGTTGTGGGTCTTTCATGCGGAGAAGAACCTTTATTTTTGCATAGTGATGCATTTAAAAATTAACGGCCAAATGGATCTTTATAAAAAAAATTACAAATTCCAAAATTTACATTACAGAAATATTTTTATCAGGTTAAATATTTATTATTAATCACTCAAACCCCTTTATCTAAACCTCTCTACTTAACCGTTGGTTGGGCACATCTGCCATGTTTTTAACAATTTTTGTGTTTGTAGTTCTAGATCAAACTTTCTATTCATCAAAGAATCCTGAAAAAATGTATTACAGTTTCCTCAAAAACACAAGTATTTTCAACATTCATCATCATATTAGAATGATTTCTGAAGGATCACGTGACACTGAAGACTGGAGTAATGATGCTGAAGATTCAGCTTTGCATCAAAGGAATAAATTACATTTTTAAATATATTTCAAATATATAAAATATAAGACACTTCTTTTAAAAACAAACCAGTTTTAACAGTAGGATACAAAATATTCATAAATACATTTTTTCCTATTTTTCAGTGGAAGCATGTGCTTAACCGTCAGAAAATGTTGGCTATCAACCAAGAAGGCCAAACTAATTATTTTATTTATAGTCGTTTATTTATTTTTTATTGACTTTTTCAGTTTTTGTAATCTTTTTAACAAAAGCTTTTTTAAGCTTAAAAAACAACAACAACAAAAAAAAACAGAAAAGTTAACAGCATTTGTAAAGATTCCCAATTATTCATTTACTATTATTTTAGCTCATTCTGCCAGAGTACAAAAGTAAAAAAAAGCAAATAAAGATAATCGGCAACAAACTAAATGGAAATGAGAAATGTTTGGCAACTTGCTGAAATAAAATACGTTTTTTTATATATTTTATTTTATTTTATTTAACATTTATTTCAACTAATTAATTTTTTTAATTATTGTTTTTGGTTTAGTTTTAGTTCACGATAATAACCCTGCTTCAGGAGACTTGATATATAACGCATGAGTTATATGGAAGACTTTATGATTCATTTATGGTGCTTTTACATCATTTTATGAAGCATGAAAGACTTGATGGTGAGTTCACCTACATTTTTTTAGGTGAACTACCCCTTTAAGCCTTCAATTTCTGTGGTCTATCAGTCTGATTCTTCCTCGGTTTTATAAACGCACCTGGGTAAGGCACTCGGCCCTTGGTGATGAGCTCCGTCAGCAGGATGCCAAAAGACCACACATCTGATTTGATGGTAAATTTCCCATACAGAGCAGCCTCTGGGGCGGTCCACTTTATCGGAAACTTTGCTCCTATAATATAAGGATGGAAACGATCAGTTCAGCACACATTTAATAATGATTAAATTAAATGGAAAGCGTTGAACCAAAGGACTGAGATGCAGCAGCCCAAAATCGAGAAATGAAAGATACAAATTGTACTGCAGTAAAATGAATATTAGAACAAAATGAGCAGAATTAACGATTGGCTGGGAATTGTGTATGAAATTTACACAATGGAGAGGTTAACAATGAATCTCCCACTTAGACCAGACCTGGTGTAGAAATTTTGAATATTTTTTAAGAAAAGAAGGGAAATCTTAAGAATTATTGAATAAGAGATACGAAGGATATGAGGAATGAAAGAAGTAATGATAGGAATAAAAATAAAAAGAAATACCCATATTGGGAATGAGAGTACCTCTGCATTAAAATGCATCATCCTCAAATGTTTTCTTTTGTATAAAGTTAATAAAAATAAATAAATAAATAATTGAAAACGGATCGGATCTGGTACCCAAACTACAGGCAGAGTAATAAATATATAACTATATAGCTTACTGAATTTACAAAAAAAGCTGTAATACTGGGTTGGCTGACATTGCCTTGCAACATATTTTATTGTTACTACAATTGATGACTTTTATGTCCCTTTTTTCTTTCTCTTATAATTTTGGATGTAACATCTGTTTCACAAAATATGTTTTGCCGGGTTTTTATTTATTTATTTTTTAGCCAACATACCCAATTGTTGAATGCCTTGACTAAGATTCCAGGTACCATGCAAATGTAAGGAAATGTTATAATTACTGTAATAAAAACTTTAATACTTAAAAAAAAGAACAAAATGAGCAGGAATGATATTGAGTGAAGGGCAAAGAAGAGATAAATAACATTTGATACTATCAAATAAAGGATGAAGCTCAAGATCAAGGATTGTCAGTGACCTTGTCTAGCGGTGTACTCATTGTCCTCAATGAGTCTAGCCAGTCCAAAATCTGCAATCTTACAGACCAGACCCTCTCCAACCAGGATATTGGCAGCTCTCAGGTCTCTGTGGATGTAGTTCATCCGCTCAATATACGCCATGCCCCCAGCGATCTAGAAGAAAGAAAGAACTTTCATCACAATCCTTAAGAAGTGAGATTGCTATTAGTTTTAGGGTATGTTCACACTTGTAGTTTCGGTTCTCTTGCTTCTTTTGGTCCGGACCAAAAAAGCAAATGAAACATTTAGTCCTGGTTTGCTTAGCGTTCACACTGTCATTTTAAACACAGAACCTAAAGACAGAAAAAAAGGCCTTTATGACATATATTTTGCGACCGAACTTATAAACATCCTAAACAATGCTGTGCGCTTTGCGTACATATGATGGTGTTTTTACCAGCTGAGAACCCGTGAAGAGCTTATAAAATGTATCAGGGTGTGTTCACACTTGTAGTTCGGTTCGTTTCGTAACGACCCCCCCTAAAAAAAAACATTTAGTCCTGGTCTGCTTAGCATCCACACTGGCATTTTAACACCGAAGCTAAAGATGCCGAACCTAAAGGCATAAGGAAATGTTCACAACCTGATTGGTCGTCTTTTATTATGTATATTTCGCGATGGAACATACCGAACAAGCAAAACAACACTGTGTTCTGGGATAAATGCGCTCGTTGTATGTGCGTAGCTACATATGATGCTATTTTGACCAGCTGAGAACTCCTGCAGAGCTTATAAAATGTATAAAGGAGTCAAAACAGCGTCAGGAATCTCTCCGTCACACACATGAACGAAGATCTGCTGCGATGAGACGAAGTGTGATGGGCAACATCGCGACTATGACGAGAAAAAACAGCATTCTGTCCTTTTAAGGGTCACATCTTGTGACATCATGTACCGTTTTGGTTCATTTGGTGTCTTTGGTCTGTGTTGCTTTTATTTTCATTCGAACCGCACCAGTTTGTCTGGAAGCGGACCGAAACTCATCTTTTCAGCGTCTCTGTCCACTTGTTTGGTGTCATCAGGGTTCAGATGACAGCGTTCACACTTATTCAGATGAACCACACTAACAGAGCAATCGCACCAGTTCATTCATTTTAATCAAACCAAACCTGCCAAGCATGGACACATTCTCGCTAAAGACATGCTCTCAAAAATACAAAGAAAGATGCTTTTTAGATCTTGACATTTGTTTTTCAAGGTATCTTATTTTTTTCTTATTCAAAAGGTTCAAGGGTGATTGACCCTGTACAGAACGACTGAGATATCTGGGTGTCTTATCACCAGTGGTGTACATTTCATGCTAATACTTAACTGATCCAGGATCTGAAGATCTATTATGGCTTGATATGTTACCATATATAGAAATGGGAAATGCAAAGAACAATTCTGGTAATGCTGCATGTTATTGACTTGTCAGTCAATAAACCGACTGACAAGTGATTCATTTGAGAATCGCACTACATAGGTCAAGCTGGTTTCTTTTTATTCACTAGACCGAACACCAGCTTCTTGGTTCCAACTTTAACCATTTAAAGGGTTAGTTCACCCAAAAATTCTGTCAGTAATTACTCGCCCTCATGTTGTTCCAACCCCGTAAGACTTTCGTTCATCTTCAGAACACAAATGAAGATATTTTTAAATCTGAGAGCTGGATCACTCCTCCATAGGCTTCTTAAGGGATCGAAACTGGCCGGCCGAAAAGTTATTAAAAGACATCGTTGAAATAGTCCGAGTGACGACAGTGGCTCAATCTTAAGTTTATTAAGCGACGAGAATACTTTTTGTGCGCAAAAAACAAACAAAAATAACGACTTTATTCAACTACTCATTTCCTTCTCTGTGGGCCGTGATATATTTCACGTAGTGATATTGCGCAAAGCTTCTGTGTTGTACGTCACACGTAGGCTCACTATTGGCCAACGCTGGTCATGTGTGTGATGCGTGTGACGTGCAACACAGAAGCTTCGCGTAGTTTCACTACGTGAAATCTCACGGCCCACAGAGAAGGAAATGCATAGTTGAATAAAGTCGTTATTTTTGTTGTTTTTGCACTGAAAAAGTATTCTCGTCGCTTGATAAACTTAAGATTGAGCCACTGTAGTCACTCGGACTATTTTAACGATGTCTTTCATAACTTTTGGACCGGGCAGTTTCGATCCCTTAAGAAGCCTATGGAGGAGTGATCCAGCTCTCAGATTTAATCAAAAATATCTTAATTTGTGTTCAGAAGATGAACGAAAGTCTTACGGGGTTGAAACAACATGAGGGTGAGTAATTACTGACAGAATTTTGATTTTTGGGTGAACTAACCCTTTAACACTAAGTTGCTTCAGGACGACTGTCCCAGTAATGGATAATGAATGTTTGATAGATATTTGTTGACTAATAAGAAGCTTTACCTGGGCTGCCATGTCCACGAGTTGAGGCAATTTTAAATTTTTGCCATCTCCATCTTTCAAAAAGTCCAACAAGCTTCCTAAACAGAAGCATCAAACAAAATGTTCATGTGTGTATGTATGTGTATATATATATATATATATATAAATTAATATACATTATTATTCAAAAGTTGGGGGTCACAAGGATGCTTAAAATCGTGACACTAAAGACATTTGTAATGTTACAAAAGAATTAAGATTTTAAATAAATACTGTTGTTCTGAACTTTCTATACATCATAGAACCCTGGAACATCTTCCAAAAAAATATTTAGCAGCACAACTGTTTTCAACACTGATAATAAATGTTTCTTGAGCAGCAAATCTGCATATTATAATGATTTCTGAAGGATCATGTGACACTGAAGACTGGAGTAATCATGCTGAAAATTCAGGGTTGCATCACAGGAATAAATTACATTTTACAATATATTACAATAAAAACCAGTTATTTTAAATTGTAATAATATTTCAGTATAACAGTTTTTACTGTATTCTTTAATCAAACAAAAGCAACTTCGGTGAGCATAAGAGACTTCTTTCAAAAACATTAACCGACCCCAAACATTTGAATGATAGTGCATATAAACATGTTGGCCTGTTGTCTCTCTCATAACTGTATGTACCTTGACTCATGAACTCTGTGATGATGTAGATGGGCTCCTCAGACACCACCGCATACAGCTGTACCAGTTTATCATGCCGGAGCCTCTTCATGATCTGGGCCTCGTCCAGGAAGGCCTCCGGAGACATGGTGCCTGGCTTCAGGGTTTTCACTGCAACTTTAGTTGTGCCATTCCACATGCCTACACATAGAAATGTTGTCAGACACATTCGGAAGAAGCATTTGGCAATGTTTAGGGGATGAGAGAAGGGGTGGGGAGAAACAGATGTAGAGGCATCTGGGAATACGGCCACACACCAAAGCAACAGGAAGCTGGGATTACTGCAGACTACTGGATTTTTTATATTTATTTTTTATATGCAATGTGTGTCGAATGTGCTGTTGCATTTTTAATGTCACAATGAACATTGACACTGCGCTAAAAAAATGCTATTGGGGTTTAGCTGACGTAGTGCATTTGAGGATTAGCTGACGATTCAGAACCATAGACTGATGCTTGGCAAAGCAGGGTCCATAACAGCATTTGTGCTTTATGCATTTTGGATATTCAGCATTGTGAATGGCCCACAGAAGGACACCTTTCCATGTTCTCTGGTCATTATGACTGCATTTGCCAATGCAAAGGTCTGGACTGAAATAGACAGTGTGCATGGGAAAACGTGCTAAAGTGCCAAAGACCGATGCATCCTTTGGGAACGCTGGCTGTAGCTTTAGCAAATGCTGACATGGACATCGACACTGTCGTATCCGTCTCACCCATCCAGACGTCGCCAAAACACCCCTGACCCAACTTTCTGTTGAGCTGCAGCGTATCCCGGGCGATCTCCCAGGCGTCCCGCCCTAAACCCAGTGTTTGGGGCGTGGCATTTGGACAGGCTTTAGTCAAGTAGCAACATAAACCATCATTACTACCTGTTAGGAGTGTTGAAAGAGGGGGGGGGGGGGGGGGGACAGGGTGGCATGCATTGTTAGAAAGACCAGAGAGAGAGAGAACAAAAACAGCACAGCCTTACATTATTTCCCTGACATTCACTCTTTCATCTACACAGTTCCTTGCAAATTTTTTGTGACTTTCATTCTTCAATTGGAACGTAAAAGAAGATATTTTGAGAAATGTCTGTGTTTTGTTTGTTTTTTTCATACAAAAAAAGTCAATGGTAACTAAAACGGACGTATATCTTTTGTGTTTTGCAGAAGAAAGAAAGTCATTCAGGTTTGGTTCGACACGAGGGTTGTGAGTAAATGACGACAATTTTTATTTTTGGCTGAACTATCTCTTTAAAAGGTACAACATGTAACTTTTTATTTTCAAAACTAACACAATTTAAATAATGAGTCAATACATCATCAATCCTTCCTCCAAAACGTTGTTTTATTACGCCTGTTATAAGTGTTTATATTTTAGACATGTCGGGATGGTTTTCGGAAGTTTTATGAACAGTGGGATAACCATATTCATCCGCACAGCCGAAGCAAAACCAAAAACAATGTTCTTCCACCAAATGCATGCAGTTTTGTTTTTTAACTGCTAGAGGGCCAAAAGTTACATATTGTACCTTTGCGAAATGTAATATTTTTGCAAGGCACTGTACCACAGGCAGGGTGAGCAAGGTGTGCGAGGTTTGTTCCCTTCCTCCTGCAACATGTTCCCATGCTTTTTGTGGTTCCTACCCATCCACACTTCACCAAACTGGCCATTGCCCAGTTTCTTAATGAGCTGAAGTGACTCCCTGGGAATCTCCCAAACATCCTTAGTCTTCACTGACAGGTCAGCCAGTTTAGGCATGCCCCGCCTACAGCTGCCAATCAAACGGCAGCACAGCCCTGCTGCACGCTCTGAAGAACACAGTACGGAGAAAAAGAAAGACATGGATAGAAACGAGAGGAGACAGTAGGCTATAGCAAGCTATATAAAACAAACATTTACAAATACACAAATCAGATTAAAGCAGCACATATATGCATGAAAAACCTGTGTGATACATGTTCACTCAGCAGAGGGCGCCAGAGCTCACTGACAGACAGCATTATGCTAAAAGATGTATGCGATTATAAGTATTATCTTAAACTATTCTCTAATATAATGATATATTTACTTTTAATAATAGATTTATAATAATAAATATAATATTATATTTATATAATTACTATTATTGGTTTTATTTAATTTTTTATAAATAAATTATAAATTACAACAACAACAAAAAACACTGCAATTAATTAATTGATAGATTAATAATCTCATAACAACGAAGCAATTGACTTTTTAATTTATGATTCTATATTTTGTTTAATTTACTATTCTTATAATTTGTGTTTCTACTGTCTCACTTCAATAAATACCCGACAGTTAGTTACACAGTACTCAGAACGATTTTTTTTTCTGTTTTTGAAAGAAGTCTCTTCTGTTCTCCAAAGGTGCATTTATTCAATCAAAAATACAATAAAATCAGTAATATTGTGAAATATTATTACAACTCAAAATAGCTGATTTCTATGTGAATATAATGTAAATTGTAATTTATTCCTGTGATGCAAAGGCTGAATTTTCAGCATAATCTCTTCAGTCTTCAGTGTCCCATGATCAGTTCAAAAGTAAAAAAAAATATGTATAAAAAATAAATTACAAAAAAGTGTATGTAAAAGCCTTTACAGTTTCGATCAATTTAATGCATCCTTGTTAAATACAATAATTTATTTATTTTACAAAAAATCTTACTGACCCTCAAATTTTGAGTGTACGTTCCAACTCATTAGCTAGTGAACAACAGTAGTACTCCAGTTCATTTAAAAGTAGTAGTGTGGTAAAATTTGGATTAATAAAAGTGGGACTATTTCAATATGTAGAGTACAAATGTCTTCAGCGCTTAGAACTGAAAGTAACTGTTCGGTGGTAATTTGTGGTTTGCCCCATATTTGGGGTAGTAGGTGGTCTAATTTCAGTTTTACTGTTGAAGTGGTCTGTGTGAGAAGCACCGCTGTATATTCATGCATGTGTGTGTGTGTGTGCGAGTGACTGTAGATTCAGCAATAACAGTGAAACAGGAAGGCTGATAGCACAAGACTGACAGGTTGAGTAAGAGGATCACTAACAGAAACAGATACAAAAGATGCACTCGACCGAAGCAGAGAAGTCATTTGGGCACTAAGAGGAAATAAAGATGGGCAAAAATAAACTGACCTGTTGATAACTTTAATCGTAGTTAATATTAACACGCCACATTTCCTGATGCTTCCTTCTGAAGAAATTCTTTAATATTATAGACAAAACCTTTAACGGTCGGGGACCTCTTATGTTTTTTTACATGTTCAACTTTCTTTAGTGTGTAATGTTGCTGTTTGAGCATAAAAAAGCTCTGTAAAGTTACAAAACACAAAGTCCCTCCAGCGGGAGTTATTCTATCAGTGTCACTGTTTCTGAACTCCCTGAAACATTGTAGTCTTTAGTCTGATTCGGCGAAACTGATGCAATAGTTAGTGTAGTTACAGTAGCGTTTACAGTCATTGAAATATGTTGATGTTTCCAGCACCTCAGCGTAAGGAGTGTTACATTTCTGACACACTTTAAGCAGTGGACGAATCACAACCGATCAGATCAGACTGTGCTTTTCGTTTTTTTTTTTTTTTTTACATTAGATCAGGGGTCTCAAACTCGCGGCCCGCGGGCCATTTGCGGCCCGCGGGGTGATATTTTGTGGCCCCCTACTTGACATTAAAGTTTAATGTTAGTGCGGCCCGTCGTTGCGTGTGCCGCGAAAAAAAAAAAAAAAAATGTATCCCTTATGAGCTACCATAGATAGTCTCGTGACAGCTTACGGAGGGTTTGTTGTCAATAGTTGTCATAGACAACCGCGAAGTACAAACATACTGCGCCTGGAAAAAATGAGCGCGTCGCTTCAATTATGAGCGCGCTTGCCGCGCGCCTACATTTGAAATTACGAACTTGAGCGCGCAAAATATGTGAGCGCGATATGTGAACGGCCCCTTGGCGAGCTACCACCAATCAGGCCACGAGCTACTGGTAGCTCGCGAGCGACGTGTTGGAGAGAGACCCTGCTCTAAAACAATGTGAGAATAATCACTTTGAGCTTGTAATATGTGTCCAACAGGTTCATAAGAAAGTTTGCTTTGATTTGTGCAGTCAGTAATTTGAGACACTATACAAAGAATTCAATAAGATGGGCAGACATGACTGCAAATATTTGTATTTCAAAAGCAATAATTGTTTTTCTAAGTATAATAAAAGGAAATGTGCCTTCCAAAAAAAACATTCAATATCATTAATGTGTTGTATAAAGAAAATAAAAAGGACATAAGCACATATAAATATCACAAATATGTGTTATAGACAAAGAAAGTTTGTAAAAATGAACTTCAACTGTCAGAAGGACAGCTCATAAAGAACCAATCATGTACAGAAAGGAATGTTCAAATTCAGAGGAACTGTTCAGAAGAAACGTTAATAAATATTGAGAAGATTGGATCAGTTGTGCTCCTTTTTTGGAATACTTGAATACTATTTTTTTGTGGAATACTTGATGCGGCCCAGCCTGACCCAGACTCTACCTCTAGCGGCCCCCAGTTAATTTGAGTTTGAGACCCCTGCATTAGATGTATTCTAGTTGACCGCATGAACAAAATCCTGAAACTGTAAATGAGCATAATAGGACCTCTTTAATACAATATGTTGTATAATAAAATATGTATATGTATAATACAATTTTTCAAATAAAAGTATGTTATATGTGTGTGAAGTGTATTTCTATTGCACTTACCTGTATAATGCTCCACCAGCTGCTGGACGGTATCAAACTGTGTCCTTGTTGTGATGTAATAACCGCCATTGTCGAGCTTCCTAATCTTATAGTGCTTGACATGTTCGCCCTTCGCGTCATCCCAGTCTCTGATAGACAAAGAGTATGCTCCTAAAAAGAGGTGAAAAGATGCGTTTAAACACATTTTCAAAGCTTTGTCTTCCGGTTCTGTTGTGGATCCGCGTTCACGAGTCCACAGTGCCGCTGCTGACGTGTGTCTGGTGCGTTCGTGTGTTCGGGTTCAAATAAATACGGCTGGGCAAAAAAATGCAAGTCTTCCTCTGTGTGGAAATCCTTAGACATGTTTGCGAAGATTGTTTTGTTTCCAGCGTGCGTCTCCCTCAGACTGTAACCGAAGCTCGGGCGCACCAGACACACACACACACACACACACCAGACACACGTCAGCAGCGTCTTACGTCAGCAGCGGCACTGAACGCGGATCCACAACAGAACCAGAATACACACACACACACACACACCAGACACACGTCAGCAGCGTCTTACGTCAGCGGCTGCACTGAACGCGGATCCACAACAGAACCAGAATACACACACACACACACACACACACACACACACACACACACACACACACACCAGACACACGTCAGCAGCGTCTTACATCAGCAGCGGCACTGAACGCGGATCCACAACAGAACCAGAATACACACACACACACACACACACACACACACACACACACACACACACACACACACACACACCAGACACACGTCAGCAGCGTCTTACGTCAGCGGCGGCACTGAACGCGGATCCACAACAGAACCGGAAGACAATACAATGCTGAATAAAGTCATAGTTTTTGTTATTTTTGGACCAAAATGTATTTTCGATGCTTCAACACACTCTAACTAACCCACTGATGTCACATGGACTACTTTGATGATGTCTTTATTTCCTTTCTGGACAAGGACAGTATACCGTACACACATTTACAATGGAGGGACAGAAAGCTCTCGGACTAAATCTAAAATATCTTAAACTGTGTTCTGAAGATGAACATAGGTCTTACGGGCTTGGAACGACATGAGGGAGAGTCATTAATGACATCATTTTCATTTTTGGGTGAACTGACCCTAAGAGGGAATAAAAGACAACCATTTATCCCGCCCCTCGGATTGAGCTCTGCCAATGGTGAGTTCCCAGACCCGACATCTTGATGTGGGTCTGGCTTGCCAGGCTAGCTCACACCCAAAGTGTGTGTATAAAGCCGCCTCTCAGTACTAAATTGAGAACTTTTTCGCTGCTTAAGGCACTTAAACAGTCAAACACACACAAAATAATGTCAAAATGCCGGTCTTGGTGAGTGTTCACGTAAACACAGTCAGTTATGTTTTAAGTGAACGTAAAGTTGAGGAGGAAAACACGTGTAACAGTATAATGGATCCGTGCGTCAGGTCTTAAAGTGGCAGCAGCTTTTATGAGATAAAATAAAAAATATCTATATGGCAGTTTTTCCACATGGTATCGATGTCAAAATTGTGGCCAGTGAAAATGCTGAGTGGCTTGTAACTTTGAGAAACCACTCGCCACAGTGGCTGGTGAGCCAAAAAGTTAATGTCAAGCTGAATAAAAGTATTAATAATCTTACTGACCCCAAACATTTAAACATTAGTGTATACGCACATATAATTCCCTACTTACACAAATATATTTGTTCTCTTCCTTCAAAAAGGAAATTAATGTTAACTACAAACAATATGAGATTAATCACAATTCTACGTAATATCATAACAATACAAATATGTTTTTGATTGACAATCTTAATTTTAAAGCATTAGTCAGTCCCGCCAGAAAAACGCGATTATGCGATCACATGATTTAGTGCATAATCAGCCAAAGTCCGCATATTTATGCCGATTAAATTGCCGATTTCCGTGCAAAATATGCGGGGCTTGGATGATTTCATAATCCTCGCATTTTCGTTGCAAATAAGTCATATATCTTAGCAGAAAGTTGGAAAATGTTGCGTTTGCTTCACACCAGAGCAGCCATTTCCCCCTGTTGCCATGGGAACGTTATGAAGTGACGTAATTACGCGACGTGAACATCATCGAAAAGCTGTAAAACAGGAGCACACTTTATTTTTTTTATATTTTATTTATTCATTTTTACAGAAGTTGTAGCATATTCCTTTTGTAAAGCTACAGGACTTGTTTGACTCATCAATGTTTCGTAAGTTTGATGTTTTTATCAAAGGTCTGAAATAAAACAAGATGAGAACTTAAATATTCCCAGCACTTTCTGTGATGTAGTTATGCTTGCTTATCATAGGAAGTAATAAGAAATGACTCTTTAGATTAAGGTAGTAGCCTAGTGAGAACAGGGTGTTGGGGGAATCACTTTTTTCTCTATTTTTCATCAAACCGCAATTTTTGCAAGTTCCCGCAATTTCATCGCATAAAATTGCATAAATATCCTGCATATTCCATCGCATTTTTAAAGAAAACGCGCCGCATAATCAAGGATTTATGCCTGCAACAATCACAAAAAAACTAGTTTTTCTGAAAGGACTGATTAGTAGTCCTTACTGAAAGCGAAATGTAAATATACAGTATGTATTGCTAAACTTTAAATAGAAACATTTACCTTTCGTTGTCTCGCTCTCACGTATTAGGAATGTCCCTCTAGGGTTAGTTTGTGCCAACAACTGTCGTTCGGCATCTTTCCGGCCCATCTTCCCAAAATACCACCTGCATTGACCAAAAAAAAGTGTATTTTAAAATATAGATAATGTGATTGTAACTTCATGAAAGGGCATGTTTACGTGTAACTCACTCCTCAGCTTGTATGGAGTCCACAGGGGCCACATAATTACTGGGAATGTACCCAGACTTCCCTGTGTCCAGTGAACGAGCCTCCCACCAGTCACCCTCGCTGTGGGCCGCGGACGGAGAGAGAGAGATATCAGAAACACCCGGAAAAAAGGAAATGAGACAGAAAGAGGGACAAGAGGAGCCACAGAGAAAGAGAAGCAAGGGGAAAGAAGGAAGATATGGTTAATATTTGTGGTAAAAAAAGTGGGTACTCGAAACTGTCCTGCTTTCAACTCACGTGTTGTTGATAATATGGAACTTTTCTCCTTTCTGGAAACTCAGATCATCCTCTGTACGGGCATCATAGTCATAGAGGGCTATAAAGAGCGTTACTCCTCCTCCTGAACAAACACACACACATATTAGTTTTCCGTAAGGGAAGTAACGTTATCATCCTTATGAAACACTGAAACCGACACTTTACACACCTGTGATGGCAGCTGGGCGGGACAAGGGAGCAGGCATTGGGTTTGAAAAATCATTAAAGTTCGGGATCAACCCCGTTGATGGGTTAAAAGTCGGATCGGGGATGTATCGGGAGGGCTCTAATGACTGGATCCCATTGCCTGTGTCACACGAGTTGGGATTCGACACAGCTTTACTGGCCTTCCTCTGCTTACAGCAAGCACAGCCCATAATATTCGATGTTTTCAAAGCACACGGCTCATCACCCTGGAAACAGAGCTTCTTCCCATAGAAACAAGATAAAGGGGAATTAATTTGACAGTAGTATATAGTAAGCTATTTGATATCTAATGCAATGACATTTGTTTTTAAGGTGTGACTTAAGGTAGGGCTGCACGATTTGGAGAAAAAAATCTAAATGTTGTGTCAGAATCGAAAATTATGATTGTAATATGATTTAAAAAGGCTCCAAGTTTGTGGTGCTATATCATTGGTATATGACTAATAATTAGAAAATTAGAAAATAAAATTATACAAAATAACATTTAAAAATACAGTCATTCATTGCTTGTTCACATTGCAATAGCTAATGTTAACGAATACAACTTTTGATTTTAATAATGTATTAGTAAATGTTAAAATTAACATTAAATAAGATGAATAAATGCTGTAGAAGTATTGTTTAATCTAAGTTCATGTTAACTAAAGTAGTTAACTGATATAAACTAATGAAACCTTATTGTAAAAAATGATTATATATTATATTATATAATAATTATTATTATTTTTATATGTAATAATAATTATTACTTTATCTCAATAAATATATTAGACAAATTAAAAAAAATGTAATCCAGTAATATTGCACTGTAAATAATATTAGTTTTAAAATAATTGTATAATAATAATAATTTTATTTTACAGTACAACTGTACAATTATACAGTACTAATATGTATGGCTCTTAATTCCTTTGCTATTAAACGTCAAACCATTGAGCTTTTATTTCGGTGGAAACCACAGAGAGACGTTTCAGCTTCTCTTTTGTTGACAATGGCAGGTTTATAATCGCTTCTCATCACAAGATTGCGAAGATGATGTTCCTAAACGCATGTTGTGTTCCCAAACGCACGTCATAAGCGACACAAACTCAGAGATGAGATCGTGTGGAGCAGAATTCACTGAGTCGCATGAAAACACTGGATGTTTGCGTGTAAAAGAACACAGTGCTGCACTTCACTCCAAAAAAAAAGCAGCGCATGTATTTATTTATTAATTATAGATAATAGCACTAAGCTATATCGTGATTTTGATCAATCGTAAAGCCCTAGCTTAAGTGTTCAGATTGATTTTGTGCTCTCTGTATGATGAAGATGGCATTTAATTGATGGAGTGTGTCCATGTTGAGAGGTTTCTCTACTTTATTCCTCTCAGTAAGAGTGTAAATGTAATGACTATTTAAGTCAACAGTCATCAGACATTATCAGATTTGCATCTCACCAGATCCTCAGATCAGCTTTCCAAACACACCAACATCCTGGGAACAAACACAGAGAGAGAAAGATGCAAATATAAGTAACAGACAGAAAGAAAGAAAGAAAGAAAAAGAAAGTGAAATGACTTTATATTTTTGTGACTTAACACTTTTTTCGCGCTACTTCCTCTTACTTTCCTGTCTAGAGAAAGGGAAGTTCACAGTTAAAATTCCCCTTGAAAATGTACGTGTGTGCGCAATGTCCACTCTTTGACTGAATAAAGCCATGTCCTGTATTTCTATCTGACTGACCATCAGTGGATCAACAGGATGCCAGTTTTGCGAGTGTTTCCTGTCCGGCCCACTAAAGCCTCCCCCTCGTTTCCTGCTGAGAGAGAGAGAGGGTCCAGCTGCAAAGGGGCAACACATTCACAACACGTATCGCTCCACCCCTCGGACAATCCGTTTTCTTTCTGCCACATGAAAATATTCCAAACTTACTCCAAGATACACATAAACATCCCAAAAGACGATTTCACAGAGCAGACACAAACACACACACACACTTGCAAATGCGACGAAGTCACCACGCTTAACAAATCAACAATCCTCACAAGCTTTGCTTTACAATAGGTGTGTATCAGTTTGCTGGAGAAAACAATACAGTCCACCACCACCCATGCTTATTGTTTCCATTTTTATAATGTCTCTTCAGGAATTTCCCATGAATCTGAGTCTGTTGCTCCATTCATATCTCCGGCCAATCTATGCAGAATTACATCAAATAAATTACATCAAAAACAAAGGCTTGTGCTCATATTTCTTATTTTCTGTTCATATAATCATGTGTAATCTGATTTGCGCTGATGCAATATAGTCAAAAGTTGAATTGAATGCTTGTAGGAAAGGCCTGAACAAATAATGTTCTCATTAAACAGCTGAACACAAAAGAGAATAGTTGTTGACAAGTGAATGAAAGCAAATGAGTATATGGCTGATAATGAAAAGCAAGTCATCTTCATTTATACAGGTGAAACTCGAAAAATTAGAATATCGTGAAAAAAAGTTCATTTATTTCAGTAATTCAACTAAAAAGGTCAAACTAATATATTATATAGATTCATTACATGCAAAGTGAGATATTTCAAGCCTTTATTTGTTATAATTTTGATGATTATGGCTTACAGCTTATGAAAACCTTTTCACAATATTCTAATTTTTAATTTGGGGTTTTCATAGCTGTAAGCCATAATCATCAAAATTATAACAAATAACGACTTGAAATATCTCACTTTGCATGTAATGAGTCTATATATTAGTTTCACATTTTTAGTTGAATAAATAAATTAACTTTTGCACGATATTCTAATTTTTCGAGTTTCACCTGTAGCGCTTTTAACAATATGGGCTGTTTCAAAGCAGCTTTACAGTGATAATAGGACATTAAAGTAACAGAGATTGGTTTGGCTTTACAGCAGCTCTAGAATAAAGTTATTGTCCAGCTAAAGTTAGTTTTGATCGATTCACTTTCGTTGCAAAGATCATTAGTTATTAATTTAGGGGCCGCTAACATAACACCCTTCGCGCGCTCCGGCCGCTCACTCGCACGACAACTCGAGAACTCAAACCTTGAAATAGGTTCCAAGGTGCAAGCTGTATATATATATATATACACATACACTTTTTTTTTTAAAGCAGGTTTTGAAAACGGGAAATACCATGAGAAAAGGCCGAGAAATGAAGAAAGTCATTGACTGCTTTGAGTGCAGAAAAAAATAATTTAAACTTTTCTATTTTGCCGTCAAGTCAGAGACAGAGTTTCGATCGGTTTGTACCGTATATGAATAAGCCAAAAACTATAGAGATGGTGGTGAACACTTTTGCACTTTCTTTAGACTGGTCTACTGTCTCTTTAATATGACAAAAAAACTCAAACTAATTTTTGCTCTTTCAGAGTTCAGGAGACCTAATGACCTTTTATTTAAATATCAATGTGTTCTCTTCTAAAATCAACAAATAAAAACAGAGACAAATGAGAGAGCTATATAATCAATATGCATTGCAGCTTAGATGGATCATTTAAAATAATTAAATAAATGTTTAAATTCATTTTCAAATCTCTGACGTCCAGGCTTATATTTGGTTCAGTTGCTTTGTTCGATTATTACACCCCTCTCGTCCCGTCGTGAGAAATCTCTTTACAGACTTTTTTGGCCCAATTATGGTATGTTTCACCATCAACCTTAGTAAACTCTCAAAACAAAATGTGCAAAATTGTACATTTAGGGGCACAACAGCTTGTCATTTTCAACCTTATTTACCCCTAAAAGGTTTATAGAAGTACCTAAAAGGTAGATATTACTACTTCAAGGTACTAATGTGCTAATTTTAGGAGTAGATAAAGTACAAAGTTGTTCTTTGCCCCAGTGCCTCCAAAGGTCAACTTTTTTTGCACTTTTTCTCTGACTATGTACTAGTGGTAGCCGTTTACCACAGTAGCTAGGTAAAAGTTTGAGAGAACTCACTGTGTTATTGAGGCATTTCTCTCTTTATCACCACACCACAAACTGTATGCAAACAGAATTGCACTTGCGTTTATCGGCCACAGGTACATTGTTATAGATGTGAAGATTGCGATCTGCTCTCAGCTGCAGAGATAAGCTGTGGGAAATGCATAATGCTATAATAAGTGTGACCGGTACCAAGAAAAGTTGCATGCATGCAGAACTATGGCTGCACCCGAAATCGCATACTTCCCTACTATATAGTCGGCGAAAAACAGTGTGTCACAAAAGAAGAATTCACAGTACTCATAAAAGAGTCGGCAAAAAGTACCCGGATGACCTACTACTTCCGGTGAGATTCTGAAGTGTGCATATGATGGACACTTTACTATCCCATGAGGCCACGGGAGAGGATTTGTGAATGACAATGAAGTGACGCATAGGCCTGTCACGATCAATACTTTTTTTTTTATATATATATAAATCTTTTTATTGGAGGATGAAGGATGTTACATTTGACAGGAAGTGAAACAGTTCTCCAGTTTCATTTTTAGCAGCACTAAGTAGGAATTTTGTTTTTTGTCAAACAGCGACCCCTAGAGTCGCTGTGGAGTACTTGTACTGTCGTGAATAGCACTCACACAGAGATGGCTCGCACTCACGGCCGGATCCCCTCCCCCTGTACACCGGTACCTGTTCAGTAGGATGGACGCTGTAACGAGTGGAAATAAGGTATGGCCCCTTTAAGAGCTGCGCGCGCCCTGTTTAACCGTCGGCAGTCTGTATTGTATGTGCGCCTCGAACACCACATGTATATGGCGCCTGGTTATTTCTGTTTCATGCTCATTTTATCAGAATTTTATCAGATCTGTTTCTTGCCGTAAAGCAATTCGTTACATCGCGAGACCTGATATCACACGATACTTCCTAACACTGAGGCACACGGCGGCCCGCCGGCCCAAAGTTGCAAGGGTGGTTTTGCGGCTCACAGGCACCAGGGGGGTGCGAGACGACCACCATTCAACACGAAATCAGTAATATAAACATTACAATGACTCCAAAGCTCCAAAGTTACTTAGTTCACCTTTAAGCAACTAAAACCTTATACAACCAAAAATTTAAAAAAATTGCTTAGTAATACCCATCCCCCCTCCCAACACCCGTCCCGGGTCATCCCACCCGTCCCGCCCCCCATAATTTAACAACATTCTGGGAAAACAGCTTTTCTCTTTTTGTTTGTTACACAGTTCTTCAAAACAGTTTAAGGATCTACACACTGAAAACAAGCACACAACTGCATGTCCACATTTCGACCCCAATTGGTTAACAAGGCTTTAGACTCACAGTATCACAATTGTCAGTCAGGCTACTTAGTTCCCACCACCACCAAAAAATAAAAAAAAGCAAACTATAAAATAAAAAGGTGTCTCAAACTTCAGGCAATACTTTAAGATTCTCAAAATATGTCACAAAGGGTTGCCATTTTAAGTAAAATTTCTGGACTGACCGTTTCAACGTTTCGAGAGGGAGCATCTATTACAACTCCCGTCGGTTCCTGGATATATATCTGCTAGTCTAGCCCTACTGAAATGAGCCCTATGCACTACCTTAAACTGAATGAGCCCCAAACGTGCACAGGATGAGGATGAGTTACGACGATCAATACTTTTTGTTGTGTGATATATTGTCCCAGAAATAATTACGATAAATTATATTATTGTCATTTTAGGACCATTTTATGCCACTGAATATATAGCCTAATCATAATACTTTCGAACAAACAAATATTTTATTAAAAAAAAGTGCAAAGTAACAAGCAGAAAATAAAACAAACTCACAAATGCACAAATATGGAGATTCTCTGTGAAGTAAGGGTGCACACTATTGCTGAAAACACAAACCGTACTTAGCAGTCAGATATGTGTGTGTGTGTGTGCACAAAAGCACAGAAGCCTTAACAGGCCTAAAATAACTAAAAATGATTTTAGTGTGCACCATTTGCACTGTGACATTTATATTTGCGGCTTTGAAATCGAGTGCAGTTGGACTTATTCTACCAAACTGTTGTCAGGAAAAAACTATAACACCTTAAATGGCGCCCTTTTTTCACTTGTCGATGACCGCTCTGTGAACACAGGCTTTCACACGGAGAACAGACAAGATGACAGCACGATAATGGGCGATATATTGTGTCACCAAAAATTATTGAGGATATACAGATATATTGTGCGATAAGTCGATATATCTTGATTATTGCGACAAGCTTTCTGACGCCGTAGGTCACATGATAATGACAACATGGCGAATGAAGTACGCCCAGTTTACACACATATACACACTCATATACAAAACATGCTTTTTTAGAGGTCGTGAAGTAATTACTTATTCAAAAGAAGTACTAAAGAGAGTATGCGATTTTGGACGCAGCCTTCGTGTGATCAACGTTCACTTCCGATTGGAAACTACGCTATAGTTCACTTCAAATGAACCATTCCTAGGTTTGATCATGTAAACCAACCATTTTAAACATTGCATTAGAATGCAAATTTATTCTAGAGC